CTCAACACAGGGCTCTAAGGCAGCTCTTCATAATTATTAATTCTAATTTTTTGTGGCCGGGCATGGTGGTACATGCCCATAATCCCAGCACTTGGGAGACTGAAGCAGGAGGATTGCTGAGAGTTTGAGACCAGCCTGGGCTACATAGTGAGTTCCAGGTCAGTCTCCACTACACAGTGAGACCCTGTCTCAAAACAAAACAAAAAAGATACAGTAATCACAGCCTGGGCTACATAGTGAGTTCCAGGTCAGTCTCCACTACACAGTGAGACCCTGTCTCAAAACAAAACAAAAAAGATACAGTAATCACAGCCTGGGCTACATAGTGAGTTCCAGGTCAGTCTCCACTACACAGTGAGACCCTGTCTCAAAACAAAACAAAAAAGATACAGTAATCACAGCCTGGGCTACATAGTGAGTTCCAGGTCAGTCTCCACTACACAGTGAGACCCTGTCTCAAAACAAAACAAAAAAGATACAGTAATCACAGCCTGGGCTACATAGTGAGTTCCAGGTCAGTCTCCACTACACAGTGAGACCCTGTCTCAAAACAAAACAAAAAAGATACAGTAATCACAGCCTGGGCTACATAGTGAGTTCCAGGTCAGTCTCCACTACACAGTGAGACCCTGTCTCAAAACAAAACAAAAAAGATACAGTAATCACAGCCTGGGCTACATAGTGAGTTCCAGGTCAGCCTCCACTACACAGTGAGACCCTGTCTCAACACAAAACAAAAAAGATACAGTAATCACAGCAACTTAATCAGGTGTTGGGGAGTTTTCTTACAGTCTCCAATTCCATGTGGGCCAGAGGATGGGTGAAACGTCATGAACTGCCCTGTTCTGAGCGGCACATATTTTGATATTTCCAACTCCTCTGGAAGTGGGTGTCATTTCCATTTTATAGAAGTTGGAACTGAAACCACAGAAATTAAAACTAGACATAGGGCCTGAAAAGTGAGCCTTTTTTTTGGTACCAGGGATCAAACTCAGGACCTTGCATTTGCAAGGCAGGTGTGGTGCCACTGAAGTGATTTCTATGAGGTGGGAAATGGGATTAGGAAATTCTTCTGTAGTTATTCTGGAGCTCAAAGGGAGTAAGGGGAGGGATGCAGCCCGGTGAAATACCTGCCTAGCATGTACAAAGCCCTGGGCTTAATCCCTGGCACCAACAAATTTTCCATAGGCTTGAGTATAGATAAGATCCAAGAGTTGAAAATGAAGTCTTTGCAGACTTTAGTTATGTTTTCAAGGTATCTTTCAATGTTTGAGGCATCTCGGGAAACCTATTCCTCTGTGAGATGTTAGCCAAGCCAAAGCAGACCAACAAGCACTTGAGAGAACTGCTGTGCATCTTCTATGCCCTTTTCCTTAGAACCAAGATAGAGATTGGGCCTCCCGTGGCTGAACTGCAGTGTATCTACTGACATCCAGAAAGCAAAGGCAATTGCCAGGTGTGAGACTTGGGTCTTCAGATACCATCTAAGGAATCCTTTGTTGCACGGGTGATCACAGGACACTACCACATGTGATACCAAGGGCAAGACAAACACTTTCCCTGAGACAAGGGGATGTCCCACAACCTACAAAGCAGGAACAGTGGCTTCCCACCAGCTCCCAGTGCCTTTGCTTCCTGAAGATGAAGCACATGCCTTCCCTCAGACCAAGGACCCACCCCAGTGAGACTCACCAGTGTCCCCTAAGTTTAAGTCGCCAAAGCAAATTCATATCCATCCAGGTGAGGGTCCTCTGGGACCTAGAAAAAGGCTTCAAAGACCAGGACTCACCATACAGGCTATCAGGGTTCATGAATACAGGGGTAAAGCTAATAGCATTCTGGAGCTTGCAGCCTGGTAGTGACTGTGGACCTAACAGATTTTTGTTATTAACTGGACCAAGGGAGAAGTAACACCCATGGGGCTTTAATATAGCTACTAGAACTGTCCTCAGTGGCTTTCTATACCTTTACCTAATCTTCATGTCAAATGTAAAATATCCACATGGAAAGGCTAAATACTTTGGTAAAGGTCAAATAGCTGATACACAGCAGAGCCTGTATCTGAATCCAGTCTTTTGACAGTCTCCCTATGCAGTACAGTATGGCAGAAATCATGGTAATTCTGATGGCCCAGCCTCCCAAGTGCTAGAGTCTGGGGTCTTAGAACCCTATTTTCATTCTCTCTCTCTTTTTTTTTTGAGACAGGGTCTCACTATGTAGTTGAGACTGATCCTGGGACTATGTAGCCCAGGCTGGTCTCGAACTCGCAGCAATGCCCCTGCCTCAACCTCCCAAGTGCTGGGATTACAGGTGTGCATTACCACGCCCGGCTAGAACCCTATTTTCAAACCAAGTGTGTCATGTCTTACATGAATGTGAATTCCGTACCCAACTCCAATGACCTCAGGGGAATCAGTGTTACTGTTCATGACAGGGTCTAGTGTACGTCATTAGATTATGTGCTCCTGTTTCCAAGACCATTTTGGGGGGAGGCAGAGGCAGTGTCACTATGCAGCCCAAACTGGCATGGAAGTCATGGTGATCCTTCCTCAGCCTCCCCCAAGTGCTGGGGTTTCAGGTGTGTGCCACTACACCCAACTTTCTGAGAACAATCTTGCTATGAGGGTGCTCACCTAATGCTCAGAGGGTAGGGAGAGACCCAATTCCAGCTATAAGATAATTTTACCTGTATTTGCTATACTCCAGGCCTCAACATATACCCAAACCAATCTCAAACATGAGGACTCTACCTTTCTGGCAGTCCCTGCCCATCTCCCCACTAAATATTCTCTAAGTCTTCCTTCCTTGACCTGCCTGTTTTATAAACTGTAGAGTGGAGAAAGCATCATCAGTATCAATTTGCGTTCAGGTTTCATCTTTTTAATCAGCTCTGAAGGACATCCTAAACACTACATGAGACACAAAAGAATATTTTTTCTTCCAGTATTTAAAAAAAATGACATTCACAAACTTTTTCAAGAAGCTCGTATAATCATGATGGTGGATCTTGAATAAAAAACAGCTCTAGGCAATCATTTTTGATGCAGACTGCTTACAGGTACATTCAAAAATTTTCTAGTCATGATAAAAATTGTGTACAAGTTTTAAAAATGACCCTAGATACATGTTGATTAAAAAAAAATCAGTCTGGCCAATTTTTTCTTTTTGCCAGAAGCATAATCCTGAGAGTCCAAACTAAAAACTTTATAAGAAAGAAAAAATCCCCACACTCTACAAATGTCCCAGAAATTTCTTTAAATGGGGTGAAAAATTGAACACATGGAGCTTTCTAAAAGGTCTTTAACAAGGTACCTTGGGAGCTCAATTCAAAAATAGGCAATATACTAAAACAGAAGTTTCAGCGCAGCTCCAAAAATCTTTATACAGCGATTTGGAAGGATGATCCTGGACCAGAAGTGTTATTCATTCCTTGTGTATCTGAGAATAGTAAGAAGGTGTAAATTGTGATGTCAGGAAGAACAGGCTGACAACATTTTCACCACCCAGAGTGGATAAAGATGCTAAGGGCTGGATAATATGAGTACCTCTTCATCTGCAAAGAGCAGGGGATAGATAACAGAAGATGGGTTTTCAGACAATGACCACCCCCCCACTAATCCCAACATGCACCTAAGAGCAGGGGCAGCCTGGGAATGGTTTGGTGGGTGGGCTGGTAAGGTATGTGAAGGTTGCCCAATGTTGAACAAACCAGCCAGAACAAAAGGGGAGAGGAACATGACGGGGTCCAATGGGAAGAGGTCTGCAGTGCCAATATTCAGGTGTCACTTACGTCATGTGTACGTGCTCCTCAGTTGTCGTAATTGTCTCTGTAATTCCCTCCTGAATAGCGGTCATAACCACCCTGGCTTCTGGGAAAAAACACAACTGTGTGACAAGAATGCATTCTAGATCACCGATAAAACCTGGCTGCCAGGCACAGTGGTGCACGCCCCTAATCCCAACACTGGGGAGGCTGAGGCAGGCGGTTGCCACGAGTTTGAAGCCAGCCAGGACTACATAGCCAAGAATGTCTCAAAAACAAAAACCCCAACAATAACTGAAACCATACACACATTTTAGTCTGTACCGTAATGTACATACTTTAAATGTATAAAGCAAAATACATGAAAACACACGTTCATGCAACACATACTAAGCCATATTTCATTTCATATTAACCCAATAGACAATACCCAACATAACAAGATCAACAGGCATAATTATCATTTACCATGTCATAATTTATATGAACACACAATTACTAGAGTATAGTACAAATTAAGCTTTATAGTCAAGTTACCCACCTGCCACTATAGTCTCTGGATCGCCCATATCCATATCCATATCCTCCAGGTCGACTGTCATACCTGCCACTCCCATAGCCCTGGTCCCCACCACCTAAAGCAGACAAAAATGATTAACTGACAGTTGTCCAGACACAGACCACTAACAGATGGCCCTCCTCCACCTCTTGAGCAACCTTACCTCTAGAGTAGCTCCGACCACGTCCATGGGCCCCAAAAGCACCCCCTCCTCTGGTGCCCCGGGCAGATTTGCCTGCATGGTCCACACGGATCTGGCGACCATCCAGGGACTAGGTGTGGCAGGGGAAAACACAAGGAAGGTGGGTTGGCTGTCAGTCAAAGCAATGGTGAGGGAAGAGTGGGGATGGGCAGGTGGGCAAGAGCCCAGAAATTCCTGCTGGGCACCAGATTCTGGGTGCCATGTTCCAGAACAAGCTCCTTTCACCAAAATGGCTTCATCAGGAGCAATGGAATCCCACACGTCCTGAATCCACCGTGTTCCCCCTTGCTACTACTTACATCTTGACTGAACTCAGGCCGAGTTCTCCTCCCCACTCCTCTAAGCTGCCCGACTATTAGGGCTAGACAGACACCTCTCTTGGTTTGAGGCTTCAGAGTCCATCCCAGAAGACTCACGAGGTCCTCTCCGGGCCAGGCCCACAGGTCTGCAGACTCTACTACCTAAGCCCAGGGCAGGTCAACCATCCACGGGTGGCTTCTCGGCCTCATGCAGGACCAGTCGTCGCCTCCCAGGCAGCCCGGCTCTGTCTGCCGTTGCCCTCCACCCCCTAGAACAGAAGGCAGTCACGCTCCTGTGAGTGGGCACTGCGGGGCTTCATGGCCGCGCTGCCCCTAGCAGACACAGAGGGAAAAACAGAAAGAATGGAGAAAGTGGCAGATGTAGACAGGGGCCCTCTGCAGGTAGGAGATCTCACCTCTCCATTCATGGCTCTCATGGCATCTGAGGCATGCTCTGGATTGGTGAAGGTGATGAAGCCAAAACCCCGGGATCGCTGAGTTTCCCGGTCCTTGACAACAACCACTAGAAAAAGAGGAGGAAATGAGGATCAGGCAGCATCAAAAGGCAAGGAAGGGTCTGCAAAGAGAGGCAATAGTGAATGGACTCCCTCTCACTAACCCTGTATCCTACTAGGTTCTGAATCTAAGTATATACCATAACCCTAGAGGTACAAGGGAAGTTCTTTTTTACTTTTGAGACAGGAGTCATACCCAGGCTGGTCTCGAACTTGCTGTGATCCTCTTGCCTTAGCCTCCCAGTATGCTGCGATTACAGGCATACGCTATTATGCTCAGCCTTGTTGTTCTATTAATATTCCATGAAACGCAAATGTCTCAAAAGCTGTTCTCATCCCCGCCCCAGCCCAAGAGACTCGCCTATGTCTCACCCTCAGAAATAGGTCCGAAGCTGCTGAAGTGGTCTTCCAGCGCCTGCTCATCGGTATTGAAGTTGAGCCCGCCGACGAAGAGCTTCCCTTCTTCAGAAGACATGGCAGTGAATTCGAATCCTGCTTCGGTAAAGAATGGGAAGTTATGGTAGGAGAGGGAAAAAGTATTAGAGAAGCCAGGAAGAAGGGTGAAACACAGAAAATAATAGAAATAAGATGATAAATCATGAAATAACTCAGGAGTAAGACTCAAAAGGCGGGAATCTAACGCTGGGGCACCGCGGTCGCCATTTCTAGGCCGCAGCCGCGCATGCCCACAACATCCCGCGCGACCACGCCCGTCATTTTGTGCCGCTGCGCAGGCCCAGAACAGCCTTGCAGCTCCTCTGCGCTCCCAGAACAAAATGGCGGTGATCACGTGGGAAAGGGGACAGCGGGTCTCCGCTGTCGCGTGGTTACGGCCAACACCGACGCCACCAGTACCTCCTGGCATTCCTCGTCCTCTGGCACTGTGCGCCAGCCTCCCAGCAACTCATAAGTTCTACCTCTGAGAGCCAGATCTCCCCTCTCCGGGGACGCCCAAGCCTACGTGTCGGCGGCCGCTACTCTCCTACTGGTGTCTCCCGCTCCGGACGGCACGAAGCACATGAAATGAGAAGCCGCCCCACAGGATGTATATCGCTTACCTGGGAATTAGTAATAAGGCCGCAGAGACAGCAAGCTCCGAGGAACACGGAGAACAGGGAAGCTCCTGCGCGGGAAGGCGCCTGATAAAGCCTACGTAGGAGCACGTCACGGAACGTCCCCCAGCGCATGTTGGCGTATGTTCTCATTGGCTGAAACCAGAAGGGGCGGGGTTATGGGAAAGGAAGCGACGGCAAAGCGGAGGGAGCAAAACGCCCTGCGCGCTTCCGGGAATACAGGTGAACTTTGTGCGATTGGTGTATCCTAATGTCAGCATGTGCCCACCAGCTAAGCCGCCTTCATTTCTTCTGCGCGTGACTATTTTAGCTCACATATCCCTTTCCGTCTCTGATGTCATCCTCACCGTATTTGAGGTCGTTTTCCCCATTAGATCTGAGTTCCTTCACACCATAGCTGTAGGTCCCTGTCAACATAATCACCGTCTACTGATGTGTTGCTCCCCTTGCCTCTTCTCTAATCTCATACCCCTCCAGGTCCGGACGTTTTGTTCCCTAGTGTCCCCAGAAGTCATCACCTTTCACAGTGCTGGCCATCAGACCCTGTATTTTCTCAGTACCTGACCCTAACCCATTTACTTGCTCTTCTGTGCCCATCTACCACCTATCAATGGGACTCTTACTTTGTGTCATCTCTGACCTCAGCTTTCCTCTTTTTGTGATATCTGGGATCGAACTCCGGCCTTTGTGCTTGCAAGGCAGTCAGCGGAACTACTGAGCCAAATTCCCGGCCCATTTCATCCTTATCTCTCTCTGTCTCCTTAAACCAGTCTCCTGATTTTCCTATCAGATTACCTTCTGATGCGTTCCGAAAATCGGGATGTATTCTGTTTCCAGAGAGTGTAAATCCCAACCACCGAACGAATTTTTTTTGTCAGGCAGGGGAGCTGAGGCTTTGATCCACAGAGGAAACTTTCATAATACACAGTGAAATCTAAAGTAAAAGTACTGTAAGCCTACTGCTAACAATTTAGTTTGGTCTGGCCTTCGGTATCTGAGCTGCCTTTACAGAGAATGGATTTGACACATTTATCATTTCTGAATTCCCCATTAATGAAGAATGAATTCCTTTACGCTAAGAAACTAAATTATTGCTGGGCGTGGTGGCACACGCCTGTCATCCCAGCACTTGGAAAGCTGAGGCAGAAGGATCTGTGAGTTTGAGACCAGCCTGGGCTACATAGTGAGTTCCAGGTCAGTCTCAACTACACAGTGAGACCCTGTCTCAAACAAACAAACAAACAAACAAACAAAAAAAGAAACTAAATTATTTATGTGTAAAATGAATTTGTCCCACTACCTAAGGTCCTGCCCCCATTTTCCTGGCACCAACACAAATTACATCTGTTAACCTTCGGAGTGCAGTATGCTAATCATCCATATTCCTGTAGGGCCAATTCCCATAGATCTCTTGCTGATTTTCAGGGATTTCTCACATAGTCTATTAATCTTGCAAGTATTGGAAATTGTAAACCCACCCTCCCATTCTAGCCTGGAGTGTTATTAACTTTGTAAGTAATATCTTTGCATAAGGACCTTTAATTTTGTAATTGTACTTGGGAGATCGAGGCGGGAGGATCAGCAAGAGTTCAAGGTCAGTTTGGACTACACAACGAGACACTGTCTCAAAAAAAGGGGGATGGGCATTTAGCTCAGTGGTGCCAAGCCTGCCTCACAAGCACAAGGTCCTGAGTTTGATCCCAAATACAAAAAAAGCCCCCCCAAGCAATCATTTTCCCCCCTGTGGCCTGTGCTTCTAAAGAAATCCTTCTCTTCTCCTATGTCACAAAAAATGTTTTACAGTTTCTTCTAGTAACTTTATAGTTTCGCACTTTTTGTCTTGCCATACTAGGAATTGAACCCAGGGACTTTGCACTGAGTTATGTTTCCAGCCCCCTCCCCTTTCAGAGGTATTGGAGATTAAACCCAGGTCCTTCACACTGAGCTACTTTCCTAGGCTTTTTACATTTTCTTATTTTGAGCCAGGATCTCAGTAATGCTCTAAGTTGCCCAAGATGGGCTTGAACTTGAGTTCTTCCTGCTTTAACCTCCCAGAGTGTTGCAATTACAGGTGTATACTACCATGTCTTGCTTATAATTAGGGCTGGGATGTAGCTCAGTGGTAGAGCACTTATCTAGCATGGGTGAAATTCTCTGTTTGACCCTCAATAGAAGAGAAGAAGGGGAGTATGAGGGAGAAAGGAAGGAGGGGAAGGAGGAGATAGTGTATCGTTTTCTTTTCTTTTTTTTTTTTCTTTTTTTTTTTGTCTTTTGAGACAGAGTCTCACTATGTAGTTCAGGTTGGCCTTGAACTCACTGTGTAGCCCAGGCTGGCTTCGAACTTGCAGTGATCCTACCGCCTCAGCTTCTCAAGTGCTGAGATTACTGGAGTGCACAACAGCCACACCAGATTCATAGTGTGTCATCACTTTCAAGTGTCATGAAAGACAGGTGTGCATCCTGTCTCACACAGATCGCTCACCATGGGATTCTAGCTGATCTGTCACGAGCAATCTTAGGGTTCTATAGAATCCTGTACTGAGGCCTTCTGCCAACAACCCTGTGAGCAAGGTTTCCTACAAGTATGCCCAAGCCTTCAGACAACTGCAATTTTAGCTGAGATATTGACAGAAACCTCATCAGAGACTTTGAAATAGAAAAGCCCAAAAGCTAAGTCACTCCCTGAATCCCGACTCTCCGAAACCATGGGAGCTTATTATTTTAACCCTATATGTTTTGGGGTAATGAAAATCTTCCTAGCAAAGGTATCTCCCTCCCTCCTTCTCTCTCTCTCTCTCTCTCTCTCTCTCTCTCTCTCTCTCTCTGTCTCTCTCCACACACACACACACACACACACACACACACACATATCAGTCACAGTGGAGTTTACATAGTTAGGTGGTCTTTGTAGACAACCTGAATCCTTCTCAATTAAACATATTCTAAACCGGTTGTGGTGGTGCACACCTGTAATCCCAGCACTCAGGAGGCTGAGGCAGGAGGATCGCTGTGGGTTCGAGACCAGCCTGGGCTACATAGTGAGTTCCAGGTCAGTCTCAACTACATAGTGAGACCCTGTCTCAAAAAACCAAAAAACCAAAACAAAAAAACAAAAAAAAAAACTACAATAGTGTAATGATAAGGCCACAATATTTTGGGGGCTTGAATGTATTGATTTTAATATCAATGTTATTCATCCTTTGAAATATAAAGTGTTTTAACTGAATTAAGGTTACACATTTTTTTCTTTGGTATCAGGAATCAAACTCAGGGACTCTTGCCAGGCAGGCGCTGCACTGCTGAGCTACATTCCCAGCCCTATGAATTTTTAAATACTACATATATCATGACTAGTATATTAAAATTATTTATACTATTTATATCAAATATCCAAAGAAAATTTACTACCGAGTCAGTGCCACATGCAGCTCTCTGAGGGAACTGTTTATGGGGACCATTGCAAAAGATGCCTACTGCTATGCACAACAAGGAAAGCGGAAAACCCTCCAGAGGAGAGATTTGGTTAATGCAGTAGAAGCTGTGGATGAATTTGCTTTTCTGGAAGTACTTTGATTGATTGCTGAGCTGGGAAGTTTCATGAGTCTTCTCTGCATCCTTCAGCTCACCCCTAGCTGCAGACCTCAGCTTTTAAGAACAGAGTCCATGCGCACCTATATACTCTTCCTGTTTTACCTTTACCTGAGCTGGGATAAGCTGAGATCTCATCTGACAGCTTTTCTCTACAAGGTCTTCCATTCGTGTCTGTCTTCCACTTGTGTCTGTCTGCATGGAGCTGCTACTTGGGGCAGAAACTGTTCTGCATGGGTGGCTTCATGAATGACAAGGACCAGAATAAAGGTCTCTGATCAACTTCATTCTAGTGTGTTCTTGCCCTATTAGTGGAGGGCTATCATGCCTGTGTAGACCTTCCCAGTTGTACCTGCCAGCCTTCTAAATTGTAGTCTTGTTATTAATTTTGTTTATTCTTCTGTTGTGTCACCAGAACGTTGTTCCAGAATTTATGGAATGACATTTTTTCTTAAGAGTCAAAATAAATGTCCTACATTGAAAAGCAGTTCAAGTTTTTTCTTACAGTTTTATTCATATACCATACAATTTGCCATTTTAAAGTGAACATATCAGCCAGGTGTGGTGGCACACGCCTGTAATCCCAGCACTTGGGAGGCTGAGGCAGGAGGATCGCTGTGGGTTCGAGACCAGCCTGGGCTACGTAGTGACTTCCAGGTCAGTTTCAACTACATAGTGAGACCCTGTCTCAAAAAACCAAAAAAAAAAAAAAAAAAAGAAAGCTAGATTTACAGAAAAGTTACAGCGCCTTCTTATATTTTATTTACCTGGTTTCCCCATTGCTAACACCTTACCATTGTCAGGTATGTTTGTCAAGACTTAGAAACTGGCATTTATAGGTTACTGTTAGACTTATTTTGGATTTTACTAATTTCCCTATTAATATCTTCTTTTCTGTTCCATGATCAAATCCAGGATACTACATTACATATATGAATCTCTGGTTTGTGACGGTTTCTCAGTCTTCTCTCATTTTTGAATTACTTTGATAGCCTTGACTATTACTGGCACAGTTATCATATAGAATGTTCCCCAGCCTGGACATATTTTTCTTGTGATTAGTCTCAATAACTTTGCATATAATTTTGGGTGTTATACAGGCCCTGGGATGTCTTTCGTAGACCTGTTAGTATTATAAACAGAAATGAAAAAGGTATGATCGCCTTTTGTCAAAAGTATAGGTTGCAGCTGATAGGTGGAATGTAAAATAAATGTGTTGTCATTGAAAATTTTAATATAGCAAAGTGACTATAGATAATGGTATACAGTATTTTTGAAAAGAGGATGTTAGACTCATTAATATTTCAAAACATGTACGTGATTTAAAATGTTATTTGTCAATTTAAAAAAATTTACTCCCAAATTCTTACAGTAGATGTTAGTCTGCCATGCTTTTTAATTGACTCCATAGGTATAATTATAGATCAGCATGACTTTAGTGTCTGTTCTTTCACTGTACTAATTAAAAACATGTACAGAACAAG